CCCTGACACAGCTTCACGCTTGCCATAGGATCAAGAATACTATACCCTTTGACCCTGCCTGGGAAACTACCCACTGGAGACTGGGCAACAAATGCTCTGAAAGAACTCTCATTTGTGATTGTTTCCCTGTGCAATTCCCATATCTCTGTCTCTATGGTCAAGTAGGTTTTCCTTCCCACATTCTTGTGTCCTCTCCATATTCTCACAGGTGAAACCACCAGGTACCCCTATCTCCTTCCTCTTCCCTAAAAGGATGTCTGCTGTTACCAGCCTGGGGGAATGGAGGAATTCTTTGGAATCCTTTCCAAAGAAAGAAGGCAGGAAGGAATTACCGACATGGATGCATCATCCTTAGCAATGTTCAAGGCCAGGCTGAATGGGGCTTTGAGCAGTCTGGTCTAGTGGAAGGTGTCCCAGTTCATGGCAGGGAGCTTGGAATGAGATGATTTTTAAGATTCCTTCCAACCTAAACCTTTCTATGACAGATTCTGTGAAAGAAGGGAGATGTAAGAAAATGTTTCTGCCATAGTTGGTCTCTCCAAGGAAAAAGGCCAAAGGTGCAATTATGAACAGTTCCCAACAGATGGCTCCCGAAATACAGAGGGAATGCCAGTACTGAGTGCTTGTATCAGATTTGTCTCACAAATGGAGATTCTGTTGTACCAATGGATCCATGGACTGAGGCCAGTTGTGTGAGGCTCAACCAGGCCAAGTGCTGGGTCCTGCCCTTGGGTCACAGGAGCTCCCTGCAGCTCCAGGCTGGGACAGAGTGGCTGGAAAGCTGCTGGGAGGAAAAGGCCCTGGGGGTGCTGGTCAACAGTGGCTGAACATGAGCCAGTGTGTGCCCAGGTGGCCAAGAAGGCCAAGGACATCCTGAATGTATCAGCAATGATGTGGCCAGCAGGACCAGGGCAGTGACCATCCCCTTGTGCTGGGCACTGGTGAGGCCACACTCCAAGTGCTGGGCTCCTCACAGAAATCTGAGGAACAGTCTGGAGCACAAGTCCTGTGCGGTACCACTGAGGGAGCTGGGGGTGTTTATCCTGGAGAAAAACAGACTCAGGGAGGACCTGGTTACTCTCTACAGTGACCTGATGAGGATGAAAGGAAGATGACCTGAAAGACAGCCTCTTCTCCCAAATAGCAAGCAACAGGATATGAGGAAATAGCCTCAAGTTGTGCCAGTGGAGGTTTAAGTTGATATTAGAATAAATTTTGTCATGGAAGGTGTTGTCAAGCATTGAATAAGGCTGCCATGGCCATGGTGCATCCCTGTGGTTATTTAAAAGATGTGTATAATCGAATCACAGAATGTTTAGGTTAGAAAAGACCTCTAAGGTCATCGAGCAAAACAATTCACCCAGCACTGCCAAGTCCACCACTAAATCATGTTTCTCCATGTTCCTAAGCATCTTGGAAACTTTGAGGAGTGGTGTAGATGTGGCAGAGACACCTTTAAGCCACTACTACAAAGAACAACTCACCCAGGCCCCATGGAGGATCAACGTCACCACAGGGGACACACACCAAGCAAGGTGCTCCTTGCAAGCACATGCACGGGAATTTTGAGTACAAACAAAACAGCTTTGTGACCAGAAACTATTACACTAATACAGAAACTGCTTATAACAAACCTGGTCTAACAGGCTTTGCTCAGATCTATTGTTACTCCATCCTCTGAGCCCATGTTGGGCAGCGGAAAGGACTGTTGAGATTTCACTAAGTGCAGACACTCACTCATTCTTCCCTCTTTATACACTGAGCATGGTGTTCTATGTCATGGAATATCCCTTTGGGCAGTTTGGGTCAGCTCTCCAGGCCATGCTCCCTCCTGGTGTCTTGTGCACCTGCTCAGTGGCAGTAAGCACTGCTGAGCAGCAGCTGAAACAGCAGAGTGTTACCAACATTGTTCTCATACTGAATCCAAATAACAGCACCGAAACAGCTACTAGGGGGAAAATGCTGAACCAACTGAAACCACCACTCATTCCATACTATTTATGTCATGCCAGGTCCCCTGTTCCCAATACCCCACCACTGTCTTTTTAATATCATTCTTGTGATCCCTTCCAGTACCTGAAGAGAGCCTTTAAGAAGGATGAGGAGAAGTATTTGATAAGAGCCTGTAGTGACAGGACAAAGAAAAATGGCTTCAAAGTGAAAGAGGCAAGGATTAGACTGGATATCAGGAAGAAATTCTTTACTGCCAGAGTGTGAAGGTTACAGGCTGCCCTGAAAATCTGTGAATGCCCCAACACTGGAAGTGTTCAAGGCCAGGTCTGTTGGCCTTTGAGCAACCTGGTCTAGTGGAAGGTGTCCCTGCCCACGGCAGGGGGTTGGAATGAGGTGAGCTTTAAGGTCCCTTCCAACCCAAACCACTCTTTGATTCTGTGGTGACATTCCCCCTGTCTATGGACCACCCCTATAAAAGTCCCTTGAGGTTGTTTAGTCCATGACCTCGGACTTCATCTGTCCTAGGAGTCTTTCTGGGCAGGAAAGATGGTGCATGGTGGTGTCACATGTAGAAACCAGTTACGATTCCACCACTGCTGGGCTTGGCTGATTTCACCAAAGCTCATCCTTCATTAATATGGCAATCAAAGGAGAGTTGGGTTCAGATCCCCAAATTTACAGAGGCAAGGTGCCCAGTGATGGTGATATAGTGGCCATGGAAACTATGTGCAATGCTGTGTAGTAATTAACATCATCCAGTTTAATTTATTGAGTATTCTCACCCAAAACCAAACCCTCTTGAGCCACACACTGGACTCGAGAGAAGGGCACAAGACCCATGGGTTTCACTCTCATCTCCTGTCCCTGTGCACTGCTCCTGGTGGGAGCACTGTGCAAACATTGCCTGGCATCAGCAGGACTTCCCATGGGTGCCAGTAGTGCCTCTGACTCTCACCCTGCCCCAGGGTCCTTCTGAGAAGAGATGGGCATTGCTCTCCCCAGCCTCCCCCTGCAGCCCTTCACTGACCATTCCACTGTCCATGTTAGCTACATCCAAGAGCCCCTCATTAGCACTGCTCCCAGTCCTTGGCAATGTGGTCAGTACAACTGAGGCCATGCATGAGAAGAGCAGTCATTCTGTGACCAACCAGGTCATCTATTCATTCCCTTCCTCTTCCTCAGGCCCAAAGGTGCTGTGCACCAAGTACCAGAAGAATTACATTTTTTCTTCCTCTCCCTGCCAACCCCAAGGGTGCCTAGCCAGGGTGGTGATGGCAACGACCCTCCCATCACAAAACACCCCAAGAAAGTGTATTTTTCAAAATACTTCTTTATTTCTCTCAATACTGACATTACAAAAAAAAAAAAAAAAAAAAAAAAAAAAAAAAAAAAAAAAAAAAAAAGAAAGAAAAAGAAAATTACAAAAAACCCCACTATAAAACATTCAGGTCTCGTTGAAACCGAGAAAAACAAATCAGCTTGCATCTGCGTGCTGGCCTGTCTTCTCGCTCACGGCGTCCACCACATTTCTCCACACTGAACTCCACAGGGACCAGTGGAGGGAACAGTGGCCTCCCCTCGCTGGCCAAAGCAGGTGATTGATTCAGCAGCGCCTCACAGGTCTCCTTGCCCCACAGGGTAACGCTGTACAGCTGTGCCCCCAGCCCCACGGACACCCCACACACAGCCCCCCCACCCCAAGGGACCCCCTGCTTCAAGTCAGTAAATTTTTTTTTTTAAGGAATTAAAAAAAAAAAAAAAGATTCCTGGGGCAGGGGGAACTATTTTGGCAGGGTTTTTCTTGGCAGTGCTGTGGTGAAAGAGGAGCTGTACAAAGCCAGGTCAAATGCGCCTCCTGCTTCATAGCAGCCCTTTCCTGGGAAAAAAAATGGCATGAGGCAGAGTGGGCTGAGAAAGGTAAGAAATATAAAAATTCTCCTGATGGAAATCCAAAGATTTTAAAAAAATACAGTATTTGAAAACAGAGCCACTAAACAGACTGCCTCATGCACCTCCCAGCTCCGCCCTGATGTCCAGAAACACCTCCTGAATTAATTGTCCCTGTAGAAAAATATATACACACGCCTCTCTCTTCTTATTAGAATCCCTAATTTGACCTGAAACACTAGTGAAACCCACAGCTCTGCTCACGCTTGGCTCTGCTTTTGCACCCAGATTAGTGCTACACGCACACACAACCCCACTCCGGGGGTTTGCTGTTCGTGTGGCTGAATCATCCCCCTTTCAAAAAAAGCCTGGGTGCGTCAGGCCAGTATCCCCAATACAGGCAGAGAAAAACCCTTACGAAGTTTATCTAATGAGCTCTATATATATATGTATTTAAAAAATAAAAGCAGCAATGCAAACTCAACACATCTGAAAAAAGAAAGCTCCACCCTGGGCTTTCCCCCCTCCTCCTGCTGGCTGGGGCCCTGTGTGCGCAGCAGGTGCAGGCAAGTGCTGCCCACGGGCACTGGGGACATCCCTGGGCAGGGGCAGGAGGCTGGATGGACCATCCCCATGTGCTCCGTTGTTTGGCACAGCCGAGGCTTGGTGTAGGCTTGGCACAGGAGAGTGGACCACGGCTGGACTTGGTACCGTGGCCCCAGGTGAGAAATTGTCCGGCTACTGGGGGGGCCACCGCAGGCAGGAGTGATCGGCACCACGGTACAGCCGGGACCCCAAACAGCAGCAAGTATCAAAGAGGGGAAGAGAAAAACCAGCAGCGGGGATGCCAGATCCTGTGGAGTCCTATTTACACAGCGCTGGACCCCGACAAGTCCAGCTTCTTGTGGGAAGAGTGGCCTGAAAAGCAGGTGACATAAAAAACCCACAACACGACGCACCTCCCTGGGCAAAGGGCCCATGGCTCTCGCTCCTGCGAGGCAAAAAAGAATGGACCTCTGGGGAGAAAGAAAAGGTTTGGCATCTGGGAGAGTTGTGGCAGACAGGAGTCTCCCCATTGGTGGAGTAAAAAACCAGCCAAGAAGGTTGGATGGGGGTGGGTCGGATGGGTTTTTTGGGGGAGAAGTAGTGTGAGGGGTGGGTTGTTTTTTGTTTTTTTTGCATTTAAAAGTGCTGTGGCACCTTGGCTCTGTGCAGGCCAGGTGCTGTGGCACATGCGTTTGGAGTATTGCTGCTTTGGAGGAGAGTCCCTGGGCTCTAGGAGCATGGGAGGTGCTGCTTGAGGATCTGTCTCGTCTGGGGAGCTATTCTGTCCGGGAAGCGGATTTTGAACTCCACGATCAAGTCTCCTCGCTGGCTGGGGGCCTTGGGGAAGGGCAGCCCCTCCCCACGTAGTCTCTTCACTGTCCCTGGCTTGATGATGTCGTTGCAGGGAAGCGGGATCACCCGTCCATCAATGGTGGGAATGTTCACGGTGCAGCCACACAAGGCCTGAGGGAGCAAGAGGGAACAGGCCATCAGATGGGGTTGATGCCCCAAAGTATCCCAACAGCCACACCCTGTCCCCCCACTGGCTGCTCCTCTGACTGAACCGCCCAGCTCCCTCTAGATGCTGCCCAAGAGCATTGGGTGATGCTCACCATAAGCACAGTTCTCTGCTGGCACCAGCCTGGTCCAACCACCATGAACTGGGCTGCAGGAGGTGTGCAGGAGAGAAGCACCTCAGGAGAGGGGTACCCCAGCTCTCACGGAGGGGAAGGACTCCGCTCCCCACCTCCTGGGCTGCCCAGAAGGCACCACCAGCAAGCACCCAGCCACCCACAGCAACAGCACAGGCTAAATTTAGCCCCTTTCCAGCCTCATCGCCCAGCCTCAGGCAGCCGAAAATCCAGCTGAGATCATGGGATGTTGCCACAGCCCATCAGCTGTCACCCTCCAGAGCACGGCAGCTCTGCCCGGTGCTGGGGTTATCTATAGCACAGCCCATGTCCCATGTCCCATCCCCGTCACCGACAGCCCCCACAAGGCTGCGCCAACATGGGACAATGGCGTGGCTGCGGCATTGAGCTTCTCCGGCTGCTGGGGTGCTGCAGGGGCTGGTTCCCATCTCCCATCCCATTGCACAGCCAGGAGCCAGGGTGGGGGTGCCACCCTGCTGTACCCCAGCCCCTGGCAGCAGCCGCACACCGGCCTGCATTGGCGAGTCACGTGATGCGGGAATGCAGCAAGAAAATCCTTGTGTCCTTAAATAACTCAGACAGCTCTGTCGTACATGTGGGCAGGATCGTCTCCAGGCTTTCAGCAAGGGCTGAGAGAGAGGACTGCGGAACGATGCTTCTGGAAGGGGGTGGGGGCTGGGGGGCTGCTGAGCTATAGCCTCAAGCTTCCATGTGGGGGCGGGCACAGGTTTGCCCCTCTAAACTGGGTCCTGGGGGTCCCAGCCCCCCCCAAAACACCCTGCAAGGGGGGTGGAGAAAGATGCAATTGCTGTTTCTGGAGTAGGTTTTCTCCCCAGGAAAAGCCTCCAAAGGCAGAGCAGCAACAGGCACAGGAGAAACATCTCCTGCTGGCTGCTGGCTCTGAGATGATGGATGGGGCTTCTACAGTGGAATCAAGGCTTTGAACCAGAGGGTTTGCAGTGGGATCTGTGCCAGAGCTGGTTTGGGATCTCTTGAGTGGAAAATAGGGGAGAGGGTCCTGTCTCCTTTGCCTGGCTTATCTGCACCGGCCTCCTCCTAGAGAGGGTGTAATCCAGGGACGAAGTCTTCAGTCTGCAGGAGGATGCTTTGTGTGAGCACCAGGTGCTTGGCTGATCTCCAGCAGATTGGGAGGAAAACAGGACAATCTCCCCACATCAAGGAGTTCATGCTGTGCATTCAGGCAAGGATGCCAAAGCCCTCCTGCTCGCTGGTGCCCAGTGCAGTGTGCCATGGCTGCATGTGCCCACGTGTGCCAAGAAAGGACACCTCCAGCCACAAAACAGAAAGGAGAACAAGAACTCCCTGCGGGAACACGTGGATGGGAAAAGCAGGCAGAGATGTGAGCAGAAGCGGGCGGTAACAGCGAAGGCAGACAGGATCTTAATGTTTCCTTCCCAGAGCCAAGACGCAAGAATCCAAGGCGATCGCTCCTCCACCGTATGTCCCTGTTTTTCATTCTTCTTGCTCAACTTTGCTGGCATTTGGGAAAACGGTTGCTGAAGTAACACCAGTAACCGCGGGAGCTACCCCGCATCCTAGAAAGAGGCTTGGTTTATCCCTGGGGATGAAATCACCCTGGGTTTGAGCGCTCTGCTGTGAGAGCAGAGCTTTATCTAGGTCACCAGTGGGTCCTCCTCCGCTCGCAGCAAAGCCGCCGGGGAGGGCGTCACCATCGGCCGCGTCCCAGCCGGGATGAGCCGAGGCGTGGATGCTTCGAGGAAGGTGACGCCAGGTAAAGGATGCAAAGCGGGATGGTGCTGAGGGCAGGCATTAGGCAGCAGCCAGGAGGGCACGACGCCCTGCTGGCAGCGCTGCCTCTCGGCAGAGGCGGCTGCTGATGGAGCTGTGAGTCTCCTCCCTCCTGCAGCTCCCTGCTGTGGCACACGCCTCTGATTTTAGGAAGGAAGAGAACGAATCCCTGGAAAAGCACTCCTACGTATGTGATTCTGCAGCAGACATGTGGCAAAAAGCCTGCACTGCCCTGGCCAGGCACCCAGCAGGGCTGAGACTCAAGGGCAGGGAGGGTCCTCCAGCACCCATCACCTGCCAGCTTTCCTGATGGCACTTTGTTCTCCCATGGCAGTGGCAGAGACTAAAACCCAGGTTAGAAAAGGCAGTCTTGCAAGGCAGAAGGTGCAAGGAGAAACACAAGGCTAAAGCCAGAGGCTGAGGAGATGGAGAAGTTGTGCTCTGTCACATACTAAGGTGGTAGCATACAAAACTGGAGAGCTCCCAGCATCTGCTCATGCTCTAGAGCACTTAGGAACTTCTTTTCTTGGAAGACAAATGCAGCAGAGTACCACACTGCCCTGGCAAGCAGCAGGCTGGGGATGACAGCCAGACCAGCATCCCCATGAGGATGCCCAGCATGTTGGGTTTGTGCTGGGGGAGGTCAGAGACCAGATATTCCATCTGAAAGAGATGAGGGATTTGCCTGGACCATCAATTTTCCGCTTTGTGTCTGCATTGTGCAAGCCCACTGGCAGCATGGAAGCCTTGCTCACAGAGTTCACAGGTGTCCAAGACTTCTGGTGCAACAGTATGTGGAGCTGGAGACTGTTTCTCCAGTTGCTGTGCAAAAGTCAACTCCAGAAAAGAATCCCTCAAGCCTGACCAGTGCACAAACTTAGGCTAACATGGTCTGGGCATCAGCACAGCCAGGTCAGGGTTAACTTCACAGATAAGAGGAATGAACAGAAGGAAATAGCTGAGATATGGCATGCACAGCTCCATAAATAAGGCAGTCTCTCCTGAGTATTTCTGGATCAGCTAGGAGAACCAGCTACTGCAGGAATAAACCTCTGTACCCTGCACTGTGAGGGAAACTCCACTCCTGAGTCTGCAAGTTAAGTGGAGCTGAGTTTGCTTCAGGAGTGCCCTGCTCTGCCTGGCCTGCATGCTTTTTGCCCCCAGTACACCCCGTCACAGCCCGAGCTGGGATGCAGAGCCATCACAGAGCTCTCCTGACTTCCTGGCACATTTCACAAGATCACGTTTTCCTACCAGGTCTTGCCCATTGAGCTTATTTCTATTAAGTGCATTTGAGAACATAAATCTGCCTTCAGGAAGGAAAAAAAAAAAAATCAGCTCATTAAGAAGACAGACAGTGTCTACCGTCTGAAAGGAACAGCAAATGGCAGCTGCCAAAAATGTCAACGTTAAATGCAGCTGCCAGCTGGGATTTATTAAAAGGTAGTTTTACAGCAGCAGTGGCGAACAGCACATCTTGTACTGAGATAATCTCTTTCCTCTCCCACCTTTGCGCAGACTGCTGGATGATCTGATGCATCCATTTAGCCCTGCCGTGACCTCCAGGACTGGCAGCCTGAAATTGCTGAGTTTTACTCATTGCCTGGGTATTTAATTTGTTTGGTTGCTTATCTAGGAAAGCCAGAAGTAAGGAAAACAGCTAGAGCACCGCTCAGTGAGAGCAAGGGATCACTTTTCTCCATGTGATCCTGTTCTCTGCCCATGGGAAGAGGCACCTGGTGCAACTCCATGCAGTAACTAAGCCACAGCGGGCTCAGTTACAAGAAAAACAGGAATCAGACTGATGCCACCCAACCTGGGTTTCCTTTGCTCCCACAGAAGATGTGGCCACATGTGAATACCCTAAGCTAAAATAGGAAAACAAAACATATGGAGAAGGGAGAAAATGGATAAATACCACCTGAATTGTCTCAAGAAGTGAGGTGTATTCAGCAGAGACCGCAGTGTCAGTGTCCCATACCTGGCATGGAAGTCAAGCACCTCCGAAGTCCAGGCCAAGCTGGCTTCTGCAGCCCCTTTCTTGTGACCTACCTGGTCTTTCCTATCTAGAGCAGGAGAAAGACTGACTCCTATATAGGCCCCAAATGCCATGAACCAGTGTCACCCCACATCCCATGGGATTTACCACCCATACCCACCTCTTTAAGACTGATGTTTGCCGTGTAGATCACGTTTGTCCCGTCCCTCTTGAAGTGCGAGTGAGGCTTGTCCTTGAGGATGAAGACAATGTCTGCAGGGATGTTGTCTGGAGTGGCATCCCCTTCTTTGGGGAATGTGATTTTGGTTCCCTCCTTCCAACCCCGTTTGATGACAATGTTTAAGATCTTGTCCTCAGTCCGCATGGTCCGGCCATCAGCGTTGAGCCTTCTGCGAGTGATCTTCATCCTCTTGGTGGATCCATGGTAGATCTCTTCCAGGGACACCTTGAGCTCATGGATGACAGGTGGGTCTTGGACCTTCCTCCGTGTGTGCAGGGACTCCTGGTGCCGCCGGTGAACCCCATTAATGCCATTGAAGCCAAACCGGCCAAAGGCACTGAAAGGGTCATCGTCATCATCCATATCCATGTCTTCCTGGTCAAAGCCATTGAACATCCGGGAGCGGCTGCTGGCGAAGAAGATGTCGAAAGGGTTGGAGCCTCCAAAGAAGGAAGCAAAGGTGGCATGGGGGTCTCCATGGAAAGTGTAGTGGAAGGTGTTCCCCGAGCCACCTGAAGAGCCACCTCCAGTTTTGAGACCTGGAAGAGAAGGAGGAAGAGGAGGCATGAATACTCCCTGTGGGGGAATGCTCTGCAAAGACTGCACTGCCCAGGTGGGAGAATGCCACCTCCAGGCAGTCCTTCCACCCTCTCCTGAGTGTGCAGATCACCCCTCCAGCCAAACCACCATGAAGGTACCATCTCTACCCATGACACACAATCCTACCCCTACACCCTGAAAGCTCAGAATCCATTCAGGTTTTGCTCCCTCTATCCTTACTGAAGCACCTTTTTGATTCTCCTCTCCCAATTCACCTAATTTTAATTTATAACATACCCTGATCAGCCCATCTCCATTTTTCCCCATGAGCAGACTCCTTCCTGTCCCAATAGCCTTGTCTCTGAGACTGGATATTAGGAAAAATTTCTTCACAGAAATGTTGGTCAGGCATTGGAACAGGCTGCCTAGGGAAGTGATAGAGTCACCATTCTTGGAAGTGTTCAAAAGGTACATGGAAGTAGCACTTAGAGAGAGTGGCACATGGGTTAGTGGGTTAGTGAACATGGCAGTGCTTCACCTTAGTGATCTTCTCCACCCTCAGTGATTCTATGGGCAGGTGGAGGTGAGAGGTTGGCATGCAGCTACCTGCACATTGGCTGTATAAAATGCCAGGTAAACTCCAGGTTTGGATCATTTGGAAACCTTTCCCATGGGAAACTCCCCTACCAGGTCCCAGGCTGAGCCTGACGTCACTGCAACTCATCCCAAGTCCCAAGGAGTCAAGGCACATGACAAGTGCCCCCCAAAGAGGTCACACATACTCTGCAAGGCTATTTTTGACCAGGAGGGTTGGGAAGGGTTAAGCCAAGCCTAGCTCAGGGACTATTTTCAGGGCACACCAGTGACAGTTAAGGACTATTTCTGACAGGCTGTCCTTTGTCCCAAAGCCCCACGCCCCCTCCACAGCAGAACAAATTTGGGGGTCTCTTCTGAGCGTTGAAGTCAGTATTCTGGGTAGGTTGAAAGGGCTTTCCTGCTTCACCTTGCCTACAGAGCATGTGGGACCCTGAAGCTTCTCAAAATGCTGATCTTCATTGCCCAGAAAAATGGGAAACGAAAGGTGTGGGGAAGGTCATGGAACACGAGAGGTTCAACACTGATGGGACATGGGGGAAGATGGTCTTTAACTAGATGGGGCAGCGAGGGAGTTCTTACCCTCTTCTTAAACTCACTCTTATTTTAGATGCCTACAGGCGACAGGGATTTTGCCAAATCCCCAGTGAGCCCCATTCCTAATAGACTGTACAGCCAGGAGGTTTCACCTTTAATCCCATGACGCCAGCCTGAGCGGGGTCCGATTTCATTGAGGCCTCCTGGGAAAAGCTGGTTTCCCACTTGAGAGAGTCTCTTCTCATTTTACAGGGCAGCAAATCACTGTGCCCGGTGCATCCATCACAGCCCTGACATAACTAAAGGGTCAACAATTAACCCACTGCTGCTTAATCCTGCCGGAGGCTTGTGAGGGGATGCACCTGCCCAAGAGAGGAGCTGCCTCTTTCACCCAGCAGCCTGCTCCTGCCAGACCTCCTGCTCTTTTAAGTTCTGGGCTGATTAATGCAGATGCTATTCAGCACTCTCCTCGAATGGGGTTGCACTCTTCCATCATCGACTAATAAGGCTGCCTGCGTTGGAGTGGCTCTCCTCCTCCTCCTCCTCCATGCCAACCACCAGACAACAGCAGCCGCTTGGTTTCAAAACAAGGGCCTATTACTTAAATTGGAAAAAGCTTTGAATCCCGTAGGTCAGCCTGTACCAGGGAGGACAGTGGGACCAGTGCCCAACTGCAGAGGAAATGTGGGCAGAAGCAGTACGTCTCTGCTGTGTTATTTAGGTCATTTAAAGAGTTGCTAATGGATTACCCCAGGTACAACCCAGGAGATGAACTCCTTCCATTCCTCAGCTGGCACCCACAGTTTTGGGGCAGAGAGCAGGGGGAGCCCAGCCACCCCAGGAAGCAAGGTGACAAATTGCTGGAAAAGTGAAGCAACTTGGGGAGGAACAGGATGGGAGGTAATTTCTGACACCTGTGGAGTCTTCACTTTCTCTGATTCTTTGGCAACCAGTCCCATTTCAGGAGTCGGCATGAAACAATGAAACACCTCTGTGTGAAAACCCTCCCTCACCTCTAAAACTGATTTGGACCCCACATCCGTGCCTCTCAGTGGGCAGTGCTTATCCCCTTACCTTCCTCCCCATACTGGTCATACACGGCTCGTTTCTTGGGGTCACTCAGGACGTCATAAGCCTCCGCAATCTCCTTGAACTTCTCCTCAGCATTGGGGTCTTTATTCTTATCAGGGTGATACTTCAGGGCCATTTTCCGATAGGCTTTCTTGATTTCATCTTCATTGGCGCCGCTCTGGATGCCCAAAATCTTGTAATAGTCCTTCCCCATGACGGCGACGCTGCCGGGAGCCGAGTACTTATTCCTGAAAAGAGAAAGACAGCTCTTCGTAAGGTGAATATCACACAGGGGCAGTCGGGGATGGGACTGGCACACACTTATCGCGGAGCCGATGCTCCCTGTGTCCCACAGGCCAGCAGCACCAGAGCCGGCTCAAGTCCACGCTTCCCAACAGAGGTCAGAGCCCCGGTGTCAGAATGTATCCCAGCTCTGTTTTTATCCCGCTGAGCCCTACGGCTGGGATGGACAGACTCATCTCTGAGGCTAAGAGGGAGAGAGAGCTCAAGTCAGGGCACGGAGCTATTATAGGGGCCACGCCACTGCTAACGTCAGGCCAGGACCACGTCCCCCCCTGGCTGAGTCAGGAGGGCTGAGCTATGTCCAAATGTAGCTGCCAGCCTGTGTCCACCCCCCTGCCTGGTTCTCTCCCAGCTGGGGACCTGAGACCCAAGTCAGGGTGATGACAGCAGGTTTTGGAGGCTGAAAGCAGTGGCAGGGACCATGCTGTGCCTTCACCTTAAAGGAACTTCAAACATTTTGTTCCTGAAAGCAATTGGCATTCAGCTGGAGATAAGCGCCTCCGGCTGTCAGAGCCATAATTTGTATTTAGCGGAGAGAGAACAGAGCCGTTAGACAGAAACATCTTGTGATGGTGGGAGGGCTTTTTTCTTTTTCTGTTTTTAAAAAAAACCCAACACTTTCTAGCCTGACTTGCACTCCCTGAGAGCCTCCAACTGGATCTTGCAGTAAGCCAGGAACTCAGGGCTCACTCGCTCCATCGTGCGGGGGCCGAGGCCGTGCCCATGACTATACTAAGGCATGGAAAACCCAGTGGCCGTAATTCATCCCCCAGTCACTGCTGGAGTTGCAGCCACCCAGGGAGCAGCCAGGGGAGATGGCAGGGCTGCTCCACCAGGCAAAAACTAACAAGTCCCATACCTCTCTATGGGTGTTTCCTACTGCTGCTCAACTTTTGGTTATCTGACAGCAAACTCTTGACACCCCAATCTTTAGGGTCTGACCTGGTCCCTTTCACAGTCAGTGCTGACTCTGCTTCTCCCAGGTGCTGCCCACTGCTCACATCCTGCTCCCAGCTACAGTTCACATTTCACCCCACACTTGCTCCAAACACACCTGAGCTGACTCAGCCCACTGTGCCCCTCCAGCAAATGGATTCTGGCACAGTGTATGAGCCTTGATCCTTTTCTTCCCCATCATACAAGCTACCAGATGGTTCTCCCCATCCTTATTCTATCCATGAGCTCCCACTGGACACATGGAACAAAGGAACCCCTGGTCACAAAGGAACCCCCAACCACCACATCTCAATCAAGGGTGGCTATGCTCCCCCAGGATCCATGCCTGTGTGTTACTCTAAGCATCTGGCAGTGACACCAAGCATACAACACTTGCCCTGGGCAATGATCACCTACAGGAGCTTGGAAATTGATCCCACATTTGGCCACCTCCATCCAAACCACCAACTTCTGCTCTTTTTTCTCCAGCCATGGAGGAGAAGCTTTACTGTAGATGGGGAGGGGGGCTAAGGCACACCTGAATGACACAGTGAGGGGAGATGGGGGCATCTGCAAACACTGTACAGCAGCTCAGGCAGCACAGAAAAGGTGGGAGGAGGTCCCTGGGGACATAAAGAGCATCTGACAGCATCTCCTGTGGCAGCTCCCGGATGCCAGCACATTTCTATACCAGCTCCTGCGTGCAGAAATGCCAGCAGCACCAAGCCCACGCAGGTTCTGGGGATGCTCTGCCCCCAGCCCACACCCACCTTCCCATTTACCCTCCCTAAGGGGCAGGAGGACTGCAGGAGACCCTGGGGTGAGCAACAGGCAGGAGAACCAAGAGCTATCCTGTCCATTCCCCCCACCAAGGGTCACTACAAAACCCCACTTCCCCACAGCAGCCTCCAGTGGAGGGCAGGGGCTCCCTGAGACAATGATTTGACCCTGTCTGGATGTTGCCAACCCTCCCACAGCGAGAGCAAGCCAAGCAGTGCTAAAGACAACCCCATCACACCCTAGCTCCAGCAACACAGAGCTGACAAACCTTCAACTGTTGCTGCCCAGGGACCACAGTGTCTGGCTCTGCTCCCACACAGCCAAACCTGACAGCACCACTGGGCCAAAATCCTTCACCTGGCCAAAATCCCACAGCACTTCCCATGAAAACACATACTGTCCTGGCAAAATGCTGTCACCACCCACAAGAAGTCTGGTCTTGCCCACTGAGAGGTCTTTGGCCAGGGTGGGGATGCCTAATGAGAATCTCTGACCTGACTGAGGACCCCTTCATCTGGCTGGGCATGGAGAACGGAATTTCTGTACCAAAATGTATCCCGGTGCCGCAGTTTACCGTGGCAGAGAGGACCAGGTGCTGGCAGGTGACCCGGTGGGTTAAGGCACACTCCCGAGGTTCAGCTCACATGCACAATGGTGGTAAAACACGACTCTGTCCCCGCAGAGCCTCCCTCCTTCCCTCCCACCTCTCTGGATCAGCTGTGCCCTGCCACCGATCCTCTCCCCCTTCTGCTCAGTCATCCTCTCCTGACTTCCCATTTAACCCCCTCGGGAGCGGTGGGGGGTTTCAGGCAGGCAAAGGCATTCCTGCATTGCCCTTGCAAATCAGATGCCTCCAGATAAGCCACGGCCACCCTGCCTTGGTGAAAACCACAAGCATTCCCCTGCCCTGCCGAGGCAGCCTAGCCTCCATCCTCCTCTTGCAACCACACCGAAAGAAAATAAATAATTAAATAAAGAATAAATCTTTGTTCCGGCCCCACACATGACATCAGCCCGAGCAACCGCTGGGCGAGTGCGCCAGCTGAATAGCGATCGTTTGACATAATCCCTCCGCTCGGCAGTCATCTAAGGGAACAAACCCACCCTGGCAACGGCACAAGGTTTTTTTTTTTGTTCCATCTCGGGGTGCAAGGTCGCCGCGGGATGCCAGGGACAGGCGCTGATGGTTTAACGAGGACACAAGGTCGAGAGGCGGAAACCCACTTACCGAAACTTTACGAACACATTCATAGTCCAAGCTGTCATTTTTAAAGGCTCTAGTTTTATTTTAAACATCGCGGCTGTCCGCAGGCGGCGGCAGGTGGTGTGCGCCCGGCCGGGAGGCGCTGGAGGGCGGGAGGAGGGTGGCGGGGCAAAAGGTGCTGGCTCGTGCCGGGGATGCCGCCGCCGCCGCCAAGGGATGCTCTGCTGGCGAGTCCCCCCCTCCACCTCCTCCGGCACACCCAAAGGGCAGCTCTTCGCCAGCCCGGCAGCCGTGGTTGGCTCTGACCTCGCTCCCAGGATGGCTCCGAAAGGGCTCCTCCGGTCGACGCGGTGCCGCCGGGGAGCTGCCGTCCTTTGTGTGTTCCCCAGCCGCGCACAGAGAGACAGACCGTTCAGCGGAGTCACTCGCCGTGCCGTAATTTTCCTTTTAATTGGTTTCCTGACGCTTTCTCGTTAAACCGACAGATTAAGACACTTCTGCTTAATCCGTCAGCTCCGGCACTCCTCTTCTCCACTGCCGCAAGGCACCCAGCCGCCTGGTACCGTCACGTCCCCCACGCAGCCCCCTCCAAGGAGCGCAGGGAGCTCAGCCAGGAGCCCCCCGGTGTCCCCAGAAACGACTCTGCTGACGCCCAGGGCTGAGCACCCGCCAGGCGAATCGGGTAGGGAGAAAAGTAGGGCGGCGTTGGATATGGAAAAAAGTCACGTTAACCAATGTGCACCTCCCCAGCTTTTCCCGTTCGGATGTATGGGGGTCCCTGTGTCCCCCTCACCGGACGCCGGCACCGGTCCGCCGGCAGAAGGGATCTGAGTGCCGCACTCCCGCCCGGTGTCCGCGGCTCCCCGTGGCGGCAGGGCAGCGGGACGGGGACGGTGCGTCCCCCGAGCCCACGGCGCAAAACCTACTTCTGAAAAGTCACCTTCAGGCACGCCAAAGAAAGCTAATGCCACCGCGTCCCCTCGTCTGTCACTCGCAGGCCACGGAGAGCATCCTCTCCAGAAGCTATACACCGAAACTAGGCAGCCGTACCGGGGATATCACCAGGTAGCTCCTGCATCCCACCCGCGGCAAGCGAAACAGCCGGGCGGGCGAGAGCTCCCGTCCCGCTGTGTCCCCAGGGGCTGGAGTCCCGCCGGGCTCCAAGCCGGGTGGGTTCGGCGGGGCGCGGGTGCCGAGGCAGCGCATACCTCTCGGCGCGGCTCCAGAAGAGCAGGATGGCCGGCATGGTAGCGTATCCCGGGTTCAGTCAAGGAGCTGGTGGGGATCTTGTCGCGCCGGGGCAGGCAGAGCCACCCGTGCCCGTGCTGGATGGCAGCCGCAGGCAACCAGGCAGCAATGTCATGACTACCCGCAATGAATCATCCCC